AGCTCACGTATACCAAGAAAGATTTATAATAATAAAAAAATAAATAAGTGAAAATAAAAATTGAATGAATTTTCGTAATTAACATTAAACATAATTATCATGCATGTAAATGTCTTAACACTTTACTATCGCAATATGGTGAAATTTCATATGAATGAATTATTGTTTATCAAATGTATCATAGATAAAATAGTCTAAAAATGGAACAAACATTTGAATAGTAGTAAGGGATAATAATAATAATGATAAATTTTTACAAATTACAAACTATTTTCGTCAGACTTCTTTACATTTCTATATACAAATATATTACTTACCTATACTTGTTACTCTTCCCACCAGCATTCTCAATCTAACTCTGTCATGGGCAATCCTTTCCAGTTATCTCCTGTTGTCATTCACCTTATTCAGAACTGCTTCCGATTCCCGACACAGTGTGTTATTCGGTCTTCCACTTTTCCGTTTCCCATCAGGATACCAAGTTAGCGCTTGCATCGTGATGCAGTTTGATGATTTATTTCCGTAATGTGTCACCCGTACCACTCCAAAATCTTTTCCTTATTTCCTCTCCATCTGGAATCTGAGTCGTTCTTTCCCACAGTAAGCTGTTGCTGATGGCATCCAATCAACGGACATTCAGTATCTTTCAAAGAGAACTGTTTAGAAGTGCTGGTGCATGTTTGATGATGGTTCTGCTAGTTCTGTAGGTTTCAACTCCGTACAGTAGAACTGTCTTGACGTTCGTATTGAAGATTCTGAATTTGATGTTGGCTTGCAGACAGTTGTTTTGAGTTTCATATGTTGTTCACCTGTAGGAATGCTGTCCTTGTTTTGCCAATTTTCGCCTTCTTATATGCATCGGATCCTTCTTGTTCATTGATGGCGTTGAGCAGGAATGTGGAGGATTCCAACTCTTCCAGAGTTTCTCCATCAAGTGTGATTTGGTTGGTGTTCTCCGTGTTGTAATTGAGAATCTTGTTTTTGTTCTTGTGTATGTTGAGATCGACTGATGAAGAGGTGGCTGCAACACTGTTTGTCTTGACCTGCATTTGTTGATGTGTATGAAATGGAAGAGCTTGATCATGTGTGAAGTAAAAATCATCTAGTTGTATGCAAGCTTTTCATTGTGTTCCGTGCTTCTCCTCTGATATTGAGGTCTTCATAATCCAGTCAATCACGTGTAGAAATATAAAATTGGAGGAGTGAGCAATCTTGTCTGACTCGTGTTTTCACTTGTTATGCATCAATGCTTCTTTGATGTCTTTCCAATCATTTTTCATTGCAGTTTCTCTTTTCAGTTGGTCCTATGAGGCTTGAAACCTGTTGTTGAGAGTTATTTTGAATTTGTTGAACCTTTGTAGTTCTGTTTTTACAGTTGTTCAGTGTGTTCTTAGCTTTATTTTCGTCTTGGCAAATTATACCAGCTCCTCACCTAACTCGTATGTCATTCGTTGATTTAAATTTTTTAGAAGTACAGATATGATCGGTCTGGTTCACTTTGAAGTGATCCGGTGAGATCAATATAGCTTTGGGTATGTGTTTGTTTTGGAATATTGTGCCTCCTATAATCAATTTGTTCAATGCATATAGATTTACAAATTTTACCATTTTTGTTCCTTTCTCCTATTCTATGTTGTCTCATGATGTTTTCATAACCATTTTTGTCCATTTCGACTTTGGCGTTTAGGTTGTCCATTGGGATGGTCAGGTCGTTTCCTGAGAACTTCTCTATAATCCACTACAGCCTCTCGTAAAACTGATCTCTATCGCCTTCATCGCTATCATTTGTGGGTGCATGACATTCATCGTGATTCCCTACTTTGTTTCGGAGGATGCTTTGCTGATCCTGGATCCATGAGATTCTCATCTTATAAATGAATTTCGTGCTTCTTTGGACAGCATCACCGTAACTTCCTAATTGTGCGAAGCATTTTCCTCTTTGTGTCTGAATTACAGCAGCATCTCTTTCGTATCTAGCCCTTGCTTTTCAGCTTGGGTGCAATAAGTTTCTCTGATTCCGAGTACTGTCAACTTGTATCTTCTTATTTACGTTGCTATTTAACTGGCCTTTCCGGTCTCCCATATTGTCCGGACGTTCCATGTACCTATAAAATTTGTTGCTCTGGTTGTCATGACTTCCGAAGAATCTCGACTTTCATCATGAGGAGTCATAATTCTTCCTCTTATCTCCAGGGCAGTGTTTAAAGGGTTTAATTTGTTTAATCTGGTCAGTGTTTTTTTAAGAAGATTGTTTTCTACGCCATGGGGTTGATGCTCTCACGCTCAACCCTCCTTCTTTACCTGGTCTTCGGACCGGCAGTAGCACCAGAAGAATTACAGATGGTGTTAAAAAAAAGACAAATCCAAGGAAAACTTAGAAGTGTACAGTAGGCAATCAGTTATGAGAAGGAAATTGACGGTAAAAGAAAGATGGATTTATCGATAGCAACGAGTTTAGAAAGAGTCCAACGTTTTGTTAATACACGAACTTATTTAAATTGTTACATGAGAAATCTAACTGATTGTTTAACAAAGAGTGCTAGAAAGATATGTTAAGACGACACTATGAACGGGAACATGTTGTTCAAAACGTAATCTTTCGACTGAAATAAGTTGCTCACAGGGTTTTGTGAGGAAGTATGTGTATAATATAGACAGGAATAGAGATTTCGACTGCGTACATGAAACCTCTTTTCTTAACTCTGCAGTTTAACGACGATTTATCAGCATGATACGTGCTACATAGTGAACTAGGTACTTTGAATTCGGCCAGTTCCTGTCCATCATTTTTTAGCCTACCTTCAGTGGTTACAAAAAAGCATAATTTCTTCCGTTTTATCATATCTATGCGTATTTATCAACTCAGATACTCTTGTGGTAATTGCTACATCGGGCATACAACCAGATTACTTATCCTGTTGTAGTTTAAAACGGTTTTAATAGACTAAATAAGCAACTCTGTTATATTTGACTGACAGAAGTCATGTATTAGATATAATCAAAGTTATTAAACTAATTTACTGAATACCTTCAAATTTCCTTGGCTAAGTTTTTTAGTCTCTAACACATAGAAGAAGCTAGAGATATTCGAGCAGACAACCTCAATCTTTATGTCTACAAAAGCATTTGGAGTATATCTGTTCTTTCCTTGGCTAGACAAAACCTACGAGACTATATTACTAATTATTTCTAATATTCGTTTGTTTATTTTTTCCTCTTCGTCACTATTCGCATACATAAACTGACTATTCACATGTTTCTGATTATTTTTTTTTCAAAAAAACTGTCCTACTTTTTGTCTCATTACATTTGTTCATGTTATCATGCTGTTAATTTTCTTATGTTTACTACCGTACCTGTCAACTTACAGTTAATTTACAATTTTTACCGATTGTACTTAGCTTTAGGATTCTTTTTCATTGTTATCTGGCACACAAATGACCTCGACTGGTTTAATGTTCGTGATGAATATAACTGTATATTAAATTAAAACCTGATGAAAGTTTAATTAAAAAAAATGCTATTCACTTGCATGTATTGCTATTTGTAGGGGAGACCCAGTATATTCCTTAAAAATAAACTCAAAGGAGCCTTGAAAAAGCTGAGAAACATTTTATTTAATCAGTATTGAATAGAAGTTTCGCAAAAAACATCTAGAAAGTGAAGAGTCACATGTTACATTTCTGAATGAATGATTACCTATTCTGCTATGTTTAGTTAGGTTACAGAATCTTTCAGAAGCCCAAAGACATTTGAAATGTTATAAATACCCCTAATTTTCCGTACATAAGCTAACCTTGGAGTATAGCGTTCTTCCCATATTTCGCGCCTTTTCTCTCGTGTTCACGTTGTCGTGTAGAGTTAGCCTGGGGGTTATTAGAAGAGTTTAGGAAAACAATTCAAGCGTTCAGTCAGAAGATTTATCACTCCGAATATTGCGAATTGTTAGTGATGAAAAGATAATTTTCTCCGTTTTCGGGGTATATTATACAACGAGTAATATTTTAGTTGAAGCTTTATATACCGTGATATAGAAAAACAAGTTCAGTTTCTTTTCATTTAAATGGTACTAGCTAGAGATTAAAAATAACCAAGTCTAGGATCTGGATATTATAATTATTAGGTTATATATCAGAACAAAATAGATTGTTTTTGGATAATAGCTTTAGACTTCTGGTTTTCTCAAAGTAATATCTAGTTTAGATTAACATGAAGTTACTATAGTCATTCTTAACGAGGTACTCGTGCCTTAATTTAGACTACGTCATGATTATCAAATGACGGAATCATTAATTGTGTTGTGGTGAACATTAGAATTATCTTGCATTTCAGAGGTTCATACTATTCATAACTTCAGTAACATAATATAAAAAAACAGACAGATCTAGATTCAAGGCGGAATATGAGTCAGCATCATTTATGTTAACAAAACGACATAAATTAGTGAATTCAAACAAAATCTCTTTTCTATGAAGATCCTATTTATGTACAAAAATTGCTGATCACAATAATTGTTTGGTGTTTTAAGTCAATACGATCGTGTACTGCGCAAAATAATAAGTTGTTATGAAAACATTTAATGAACTGTTTGCAATATTATTTTCAAACTAGACCAATGTCAATAGAATAAAAATATGGAGTTAATTTTATTGGTAAGCTAATGAAAGTCATTTTAATCAATACCAGCTAAATCGACTTATAAATTTCGTCACTTTTGGTAATTTCATAGTTCATTATAATGTTGAATAACTACATTGTTGGATAACACGATGACGTTTGAAGCGAACGATACTGAGTTAGAGTCTTAGAGTGAACAACAACTCTGGGATGCAAGTACATCCAGCTGACGACTCCCAAATAGAACGAAACGCGCGTCCTAGATTTCACTGCTAGCCACTATCCATCTTTGTTTCTAAAGCTTGTGAATTAAAGCAATATCAAGGCAATCCGCATAGGATGCCAACAAGAGACTGATCATTTACAATCCTAAACAACAATGGGAAGATACAAGCAAACATCACCAAGTGAATTTCTCTATAATTTTGTTCACCAATTAGTAAAGTAGCTTCAGTTCATTTCATTAAAAAGATTTAGATATAAATTGAATATCAGTAATGAATAATTAAGAAAACAGTTATGATTTCCAAACTTTTCCATACCCGATCATTATTATTACTTTTTTTAGTCAAAACTATTGTTTTATGCATATAAAATTAGTATTGACCAGTGATTTGTGTATATCCTTGAAACAGATTTAATCTTTTAAAATAAACGAATGCCAGTAAGGCAAATTACACTAATTTTTTTCTTTTTTTCATTCATTTTTTTTATCACGCTGTGTTGTAATATATTGTTTATTGTACATAGTGACCATGACCTTAATATTACTGTGGTAAATGTCGTAACGATTATGATAATAATAATGTTTTCTGGTTTAAAGAATTGGAAATAATTATGTAGGAATCAGTAATGAATTGATTTCTACTTTAATATAAATTTCGTTTCATCTTAATGTCTATTTATTAATCTTTTGTAATTTTTTATTGGTTAAAATAAATGTAGATTGGATGGAGAATTCTGGTCGGTGGCCTATGCTCCATTGGGAGTAACAGGCGTAAGTACGTAAGTAAATGTAGATTGATTATTGAGAGTGAACTTGTTACATAACTTGATAATGAGATCATTTACTCATGTTTGGATAACGTTTATTCAAAGTTTTGATTAGTAATTTGAATAATATTTATATGATATGTGCTACTTATGTTTGTAGATATAAGTAGTACGTAATATCAATAGGAAGTGGAATATCTTTGAGTAGAAGTTTAAAAATATTTAAATAAGGAGAAGCGAGAACGAAACTGAGATTAATCAAAATAATAATATGAATGATGAAGAAAATTTAAAGAATATGTGAAAATGATGTATTTGAGGCAATGAATTTTATATTTTACTAAATCACTATGTGATTGTGTATTGAAAGTTAAATTGGTCATTCGCACCTGAATGTTCATTTTATGCATTTATATCCACAAGTATTATGTTTTAGATTTTATGCATCGTTTAACGTTATTTCATATGAAACGTATTTTATTGGTAGAAGTAATAATCCTAATACTTATAACATGCTCATAATGAATTGTAAGATATCACTAATTGTCTTGTCTACTATTACCGTATCATTTTAATAATCTGTTGTGTTTTTTTAACCATGTTAGACCTTAAATGACATTTCTAACAGGATAGCGACTGAACATCGAGTTTACAGAGTACCACGTATGTGTATATTATTCTCCGTTTCCGTTTTGGTGAAAGGTTGTTCTAGATTTGATAAGGGAAAAATATGCATATCATTAAGCATAATCTTACATAAAACATTAACCAGTCGTTGTTAGTTTATAAAAACAGTATTGCCATGATTTAAAGTAGTGATTTTTGGCATGGATAATAATTTAGTTAATAATGTAAATCGTTTAGCGAGTTTACGTTTATTTAGGAGGCAATGAACCATACTTTGTAGATGGGCTAGTATTGCTAACTAAATGACTAAGACAAAGTATTTGCAATGAGGTTTGAGGATGTATTCTTTTTGTTGATACTTGAGCGCTTTAATCCCTAAATAGCCAGTTTTGCGTAATTTGACGTAACTTTATACATTCATACAATGAGACAGTTCATCTAAATCATTACCTAAGTATTCGTAATCTGTTCAGTATATACCAATGTGTTTGGTTAGAATTGCAAAGTATTTCCAGTTTACTTATGTACTGTCATGGGATATTTCTATCGATAGCACACTGAACAATATAACCCTTACAAAATGAATTACACTTCTCAGTGGAGGACAGTAAGATTTGTCGGAGAATATGACAATCATCAATCACCCACGCTGTGAGGACACGTAATCTACAAATTATTGACTAACTTTTAGTATAATTCTTAATGAATGTTACTCTACTGATTTTACTGACATTTGATGATGATTATTCGATGAATATCATTTATAAGTGAAATAGTGGAAAAACAAAAATGGATTTTACACCAAATTCATACAAAACGAATGTTTCTGGTTCCATTGAACAAAGTATAAACTAAATTTATACAAAAAATGTTGCACTAAACAAAAATCACAATAAACTAAAATATGATCTCTCATCTTATCCCGTCCTAACAAGTATGAAGTACTATGAACACTTTAACATACTTTATTATTCCGTAGTTACTTTGTATATGTCACGAGTGTTTTTTATAACCTTTTGATCTACTGACCTATTCTTTTCCTTAAAGAAGATATATCATGACAGAGTGGGTGGAACTATGATCATAATCAAATATATTATCCTCAAGTCAATGTTTTATTAAACCCAATATAACTTCTATTAAACTACCAAGTTAATAAGATAATTCATAACAGACATCAAGTAATTGTTTTCTCATATTTTGTTTATAATCATTTTAATACACAGAATGTTTGAATAGTGGTAATTTATATACAATGTATAGATTATAGTAAATATATTTCAAAATGAATTCTGGTTACATTCAGTATAGTTCAAATAATTTATGATGTAATAATAAATTTGGCATATGATTCAAATTAGAAATAACATGAACAACTTCAATCAATATTACAAATTGCACCGTAGGGTTAAACTAACTTAATCAATAATTAAGGGTAAATGATATTATGAAATTAAACTGTAAGAGAAATATCAAAAAAATACATAAATATATATATCGAAATGAATATTGATTTCTGTCATGATGGAGTTTATCATTTTGATAAATAAAGAATCTTGTATAAGAAATGTTAATTCATTAACTCAATTGGTTATTGATAGAATATAATATAGTACGTTGTTGTTTTGGTTGATGTTGTTGTGAATTTAAATTTCGTATAATACTATACGATGTATGTGTTTGTGGTTTTATACGTTGTTCTTGTTCTTTTCTTTTTAAACTTGCTGATCTTTGTAATATAGCATAATGTAACATTGCATCATCTGTACACTTTTCATTTGTTTCATTTTGAATATCTGATAAATTAGATTCATTTTCATTTATATTAGAAATATTTTGATTTGTTGATTGTTCCATAGATAGTTCTTCTATTTGTCCAGAAATAAAACCAGTTTCTTCATCAGTAAAATCTGGCTTCCAACGATAAGCTACAGAGAATTGTTTTTGTAAACCATGTATTAAATTTGTACGACGTTTAGTTCCATGCATTTGATTAGTTGTATTATTATTATTATCAGCTATACGAATAGTAGTTTTATTTCGACTAGATGATTGTTGTTTAGATGAATCAGTAGTTTCATCATATAAAAGCATACTTCGTTTACGTCGTTCCTCTTGTATTTCACTTAACATTGAACGTAATGTAGCCAAGACAAATGTACAACTGAATGACATATGATATAATGCATAAGATAAAAGCATAAAATTGCTAAAATTCACATTAATTAATTTATTAATTATATGTGCACGATGAAATATATGTATAATAACTTCACATAACACATGAGGTATCATAAAAGCTAAAAATATTGCTGGTTCATAAAATACTCCATAATCTTCTCTAGGTAACCAACGTAAAAATCCAATACTTATAAATATAACAAATATAGCTGGAATAATACGAGTTATCACAAAATCATAATATATAAATGTTGCAATACCATGCATTGTTGGTCCACATAAACATATTTTATTAGATGTACACATTTTTTCATATTGTCTTACTACAATTGGTATTGGTATACATAAAGAGAATAAAGCTATAATAATTGATGATTTTAAGATAACCTCAAATACATTACGCATAATTAAATGATGACGTGGTAATATTTCACTAAATAAAAAATTCCAAAATAATAAAAAAAATGGTATTACAATTAAATAACTTGCAAAACATCTTGTAACATGATCTGCATATACAAATGCATGACACCATCCCCAACGTTTATCTATACTATCAGCTATTTGTGGTTTTGCAACAACAATAACTAATTGTGGTAATGTAGAAAATATAAGAACAAGAAGCGATGCAGTACAAGCTAATATACGATATAGAAATAATGTACGATCTTGTTTAGGTAATCTATGCTTTTTGATTTGTTTTTGAATTTTATTATTTTTTGTTATAGATTGAGTTTTTTTACATTGTTGTAATTGTGTTGGTGTAACAGATTCACGACGTATTTGTGCAGCCCATACATATGCAGCAGCTGTTTGCATTAATGCTGGTATAATTACTGTAAAAAGAAAAAAAACACAAAATAATTAGATTATAAGTGAAATACAATGATAGTCATGTCGTTTTGTAGTAGACATTATATGAAGATGTTATTATTCCTTGATTTGAATATAGTAAACTATCATTTCTTACATAATAGTACATATCAAAGTGATTACACATAAGAAATACGTACAGTTAGCGTGTTTTCTTATTATTTACGAGGTTCTTCAAAAATGAATAAATAGATATTTTAATAGTTGGATTCATGAGTCAATTAAATCTAGACCACCATGGAAAATCTGGAAGCACTAGACGGCCCATTTCGTCCCAGTATGGGACTACTCAGCAGTGTACATTTGTGATCCCATACTAGGACGAAACGGCCGTCCAGTGTTTCCAGGTTTTCCATGGTAGTCTAATTTTTAATTGATTCAGGAATTCAACTATCAAATTACTATAATATTCACAAAACCTCTTTCTGATTAAAATAGATATTTGATTGAATCAGACTGAAATACTTTTTATAATTATAGAAATATGCAAACATATTTAATCAATATGATACTCTAACGGATGCCAAATGAGGAAACCCTTCCAGTTTAATGAAAATTAATAAACATTCACTGCACTGTGGTAAGTTTGAAAACTAAATGGGTTTTGATATATTAAGCTGTTACGATTTCCTGACCAAATCGATCGTTTTCTTGGATAGTAACATTTTTCCACCTTACAACTTTGTAAAAAAGTCTTTTTTCATTTTTATTGAACCCATTGCTTTATGATAAATTTTATACTTTTGACAATATTGTTTACAACACGGTTCAAATATGACAAAACTTGTTCACATTATATTAACGGTCATTAAAGATTATCAAGATTTACATTCTAGTTTTCTTAACAGAGATCCTTTAGAAACTTAGGTTAGAGCTATGAAAATGAAAGAACCATTAGTTTTCAATGTACAAATGGTGCTACATGCATGATCAGATGAACTTCTAAAATGTTTAGGGATTTCAAACCTGAACGGTAATAAATGTTACTCATTACTACCGTTCTTAATTCTATTTCCTAACAAACTTATACAAAACTACGATTTTGAAAACTTTTAGTGTTCAATTGAATATAGAATTATTTCATAAAAAGAATATACAAACATTATAGTTTATAAGCAAAGATGGAGAGTGGCTAGCAGTGGAATCCACAACGCGCGTTTCGTTCTATTTGGGACTCGTCAGCTGGATATACCTGCATCTCAGAGTTGATGTTCACTCTGGGACTTGAACGCAGTACCGTTCGCTTCAAACGCCACCGTGTTACCCATCTTTGCTTATAATGCTTGTAAATTACGGCAATATCGAGGCAATACGCACATTATGCACATATGCCAATAACAGACTGATCAGTTTCTGTCCTAAACATCAATTTGAAGATTCAAGTAAAAAGCAATACCAAGTGCATTATAGTTTATATTCCCTATTTCATTCGATCTGTCCATATTGTGTTCAGTTCATTACTTTACAAAACCCACAATATATATTTCGCTATTTCTGATTGTATTATAATTACTTATTATTATAATAAAATGAAACTGTTTCTTTTATCATTTACTTATATCAGTTGAAGTCAAATACGTTTCATTTCAACTATTAGTTAATATTAATTATGTAATCAAACGAATACCATATGATCAGTCGTAAGAATTGTCAGTGCCTAATTTTGTTAAAAAATTCAATGGAAGAAAATTTAATAAGTGATACTTAATTGAATAATTGAATTCATGAGTCAGTTGAAGCTAGACCACCATGGAAAACCTGGAAGTACTAAATGACTATTTCATCCTAGTATGGGACTCCTCAGCAGTGTGCAACCATGTTCCCTCCTCGCAAGATTTGAACCCAGGATCTATCGGTCACGCGCGCGAACACTTAACCTCTAGACCACTGTGCTGGCATCCAACGGTGGAGTTCGACCGGATCTCTTGTGAGATAATAACTCACTGATGACAATTGTGGCGGTGGCGCAATTTCGTGGTTTGGTTCAAGTTACACATCTACACAATTCGATGCTGGCTCAGTGGTGTAAAAATTAATTGTTCGCAAGCAAACCGAAGGTCCCAGACTCGAGTCCCTTTGATGCAGTGTCGTGGATACGTACTGCAAAGGAGTCTCATACTAGAATGAAACGGTCATCCATGGCCTCCAGGTTATTCATGGTGGTCTAGTTTTAATTAACTTGTCAATTCAAGCATTAAATTACTATAATATCCACAAAACTCTTCCTAATTAGAGTGATATTTTCTTAAAAAATCAAATCATTTTTTACAAACTGATTAAAAATTAAACAAAAAACATAAAACTATCAAAAAACAAAAGTTGTTTTTATTGTTTTTCTTTCAACAATGTTCATTATTCAATAATTTATCTATTAATGATTAATTCATAAGTTATTTTGTTTAAATCTTATGCATGAATCGAAGCACACAATAATCTGCCGATAATAAATTTATATGTTGAGGCAGTAGGAAAGACCATATATATATATATATATATATATATATGTACATACGTTTATATATACTATTTGTTTATATAAATAGTAGTTTCCGTAGGTAGGCAAAACAAAGGAATAAAGATATCAGATAAAAAAAATATATATCACTGTCAATATAGTAAGCAACAAATAATATGTTAACCCTATCTTATATCCTACTGATCTATATAGTTATTTGCTTGTTTGTTTGTATTTCAGTAAAGAATTGATTGATACTAAATAGTATTGTTCATAATATTTATGTTCTGATTAGATTAATGATATTTACATTCTATAAGTAAATTGTATATGTATAAATAAATACAATATAATCTTCCTTTTTTCTAAAAAAATTTTTTCTGTTCAACAATATAAGATAGTTTGTATTAGAAAAGATAAAAACAACATAAGTGACATTATGATTATAAAGAATAAATTGTTGAATATGATTTTCCGATTATAATAGAATACTAGAATGAAACGGCCATCCATGTGCTTCCAGGTTTTTCATGGTGGTCTAGCTTCAATTGACTCGTGAGTTCAACTAGTAAAATTACTATAATATTCACAAAATTGTATTTTCAAAAATTAAGAAAACAACATAATAATCTTTGGAATTTATTTTTATTATCTCAATAGAATGGCTTCTCTATGTTTTGTTTTTTTCAAATAAAATATTAATTCTGATGGATGGCCTATGCTCATCCACAAGGGTTAACAAGCGTAAGTATGCTTATGAATTAGTCTTTCGTGGATCGTCAATGCCTTAGCAGTGCATAAAATACTGATTTGATTTCTTTTCCATCCAATTCCTTTTACTATGTAGATTATTTTAAAAGAAGAGTACAAAAGAAAACCCTTTTTATGAATGTAGAATTTAAAGGAGACATAGCTGTTGAGATCTTAAATAAATGGATTTCAATATCATTGAATGAAAAGTTCTAGGCAGCTAAACTCCGAATTGTTGTCATATGTCGGCTTACCGTTCATGGATGTTTTAACGATAAACTTTCGCTTTGAGCCATATCAATGTGTATTTATAAATTTACTTGCTCATATGGGGCAGGTTACATTGGTTGCACAAAGCGATTACTTTCCAAACGCATCTCAGAACACTATCCGGCTTGGCTTTTAAGAACGTGAATGTAAGACAATTACTAGCACTACACAAGAACAACTATTCCTTCAGTTAAATAACTTCAGATAATATAATTCTCGGCAAAATTATGTCATTTTATTAATTCGTATAGATGAAAATAAAAGGTCATATCCTAGATAAAGGTATATTAATATATAAAAATAATAATTCGTTGTATTCTAAGGGTTTAACTAACTGATGTGTTCAATTTGTATACTTCAATAAAGTCTAGTTGAATGGTTAAGAATGCGTTTTATTATTGTGTAGATCGATAATTTTAATCTATTTTCTTCTCACGTTTCAAGAATAGAAAATTTTATTATTTAAAGTGGTTCAAGAAAGAAAGAATTAATCGGCTAATTGATTACAGTATTTAAGATGAATAAGTTTGGATTAAGACAACTTGTTCTAACACACTAGTCCTGATTATTGTTTCGATGGGATAATTAACTGACATGGTAATTACTTTTGAAAATGGTAAATTGGATGATGGATATAAGAATACAAAGGTAGTAGATAAAGACTTCATTGACACGGAAAATAAATCAATACGATATCTGTATGGAATAGTTTTTATATGATTTATTTACAATCAAATTGACAGTTTGTTTGATATGGATTGAACTTAGTAGTATTCAATACCAATTAGTCGATGATTTTCATAGTTTAACTCAGAGACTGGTCTTAGATGGACCACCACTGAAATGCTGTGACCCATGGAGTTCAATACATGTCAAACGTGAAACTACTATCCACTGCAAGCAATAGATGAGGGCTACTCAACGATGTGAACCGACTGAAGTTAAATAGCAGGACCGTTGGATGCTGGTTCAGTGATTTAGAGATCAAGTATTCTTGCACTAGACTGAAGGTCCTAAATTTTATTTCCGGGTCCCGATTCGTAGACGCGCATGGCTGAGGAGCTTCATACAGAACGAAGCAGTCGACTGGTGATTCCAAATTTTCAATGGTGTTCTAGTTAAATTAGTCTGTGATTTAAATAATAAGGATTCTACAATCTCTACTAATTTCCCCATACTAATGAACAATAATTTACTGAATAACCATTGATGTAAAATATCACAAAACTAACTTTCTATAATCAGTCAATGTAAAACTAATATGATTACACCCCAGAAAGTGAATATATGTCACACACGATTGGAGGAAATATCAAGATCGTATGCTACTCACGCTCTAATCAATTAAGCTCTTGCTCACCATATTGCTAATGAGTTATAAAATGAGTTATATGATTAAATTTTCCATGTTGTCAAATAAAATAAGAAATAAACTAAAATGATTGCAAAGTCTTCAACTGGATAGGAAGAATTTCTTTACTCTCTACT